TTTTTTTTTTTTTTGTCATTGTCATTCCTATAACTACTTCACCTATCTCCTTGTTAAATTAAGTATGTCAGGGTTTTTTGCCATTTCAAAGTCAATCCTTTATAGTCTATGTTTACTTTTGACTGTATTAATTTCTGATTTTACTATTATTTACTTTCTTTGAGGTTATTTTGCTGTTCTTTTTAAAAACTTAGGAGATAGATACTATAATCTTTAGGCTTTCTTTCTTTCTTTTTTTTTTTTTTAATGTATGCCTGTAGGGCTATAAATTATTCTCCTACAATGGTTTTCCCTGAGCTCCAAAAGTTTTGAAAAGTGGCGTGGTTATTATCCTTCAATTCAAAGACTTTGGAATTTTCATTATAATTTTGTTAATTTTATTTCCATTTATATGGGAAATATTAATTTATCTTTTCACTGTTGACTTCTAGTTGAACTGCATTTTACTCAGATAATATGCTGTGCATAGCATAACAGTGATCTTTGGTACTTGTTACCAATTGCTTTATAATCCAATGTATGGACCATTTCTGTAAATGTTATATGTACTTTGCAGGTTTGGGTTGTAGTATTCTATATATGTCCATTATGTTGGTTGTGATTGTCTAAGCTCATATTGATGTTTCTGGATAAATTCTTTTTATATTTATGTCCACGTATCTATTTTAATTTTAAGGATACTTTGTTATGTGAATACAAATATAAAATGGTAGGTATGCCTTGCTGATTATTTGACACTTTTCATTATGCAGTGACATACTTAACTTCTGGCAATGCCCTTCTATTTCAAAGGTTATTTTGTCTGATAAAGCTAAATCAGTTTTTTTTTATTGTTGTTAGCTACTGAACAGTGTGGTTTTTTTTCATCCTTTTAGTATGTGATGTTTTAAGTGTCTTATTTTCTTGAATTTGCAAAATCCAAATTATAATTTTTGCATTTTATTTGGAGCACCTAGTCTATTTACTTTTTTTTCTTCTACATTTATTTATTTTTGAGAGACAGAGACAGAGCACGAGCAGGGGAGGGGAAGAGAGAGAAGGAGACATAGAATCCAAAGCAGGCTTGAGGCTCTGAGCTGTCGGCACAGAGACCGATGTGGGGCTCCGATTCACTAACCACAAGATCATGACCTGAGCTGAAGTTGGATTCCCAACCAGCTGGGATATTCCCAGGTGCCTATATAGTTGTCTTCATTTTTAAGAACAGTTTTATTTTTGGGACAGAGAGAGACCGAGCATGAACGGGGGAGGGGCAGAGAGAGAGGGAGACACAGAATCGGAAACAGGCTCCAGGCTCCGAGCCATCAGCCCAGAGCCCGACGCGGGGCTCGAACTCACGGACCGCGAGATCGTGACCTGGCTGAAGTCGGGCGCTTAACCGACTGCGCCACCCAGGCACCCCAAGAACAGTTTTAGATTTACAGAGATCTCCCATATATACCACACCCAGTTTCCCCTATTATTCATAATTTATATTACTGTGATACATATATTTAATGTTTATTAATTTTTTTAATGTTTATTTATTTTTGAGGGGGTAGGGGAGGAGGGAAGGGTATATAGAGAGGGAGACACAGAATCTGAAGCAGGCCCCAGGCTCTGAGCTGTCAGCACAGAGCCCGATGCAGGGCTGGAACTCACCAACCGTGAGATCATGACCTGAGCTGAAGTTGGACGCCCAACCGACTGAGCCACCGAGGCACCCCAGTTTATTTACCTTTAATGTAACTGTTGATATATTTAAAATCTTTTGTAATTTTCTTCAGTAACACTCCCAGTTTTTGTCTGTAAGAAAATATCTTTATCTATTCTTGTAAGATATTTTCACAAAGCCATTATTTTCCTTTTTAAACTGGCCAATTATTTTCCTTCACACTGTGAAGATATCACTTCATTATCTTTGGATACCCATTGTTGCTTTTGTGACGTCAGCTGTCAATCTAATTGTTAGTTTTTAAAGGTAATGCGTCTTTTTTTCTGGCTACTTTTAAGATTTTCTTTAAAAGATTTTAAGATTTGATGGCCTGCTGATATTTAGCTAATAATTCTTTATTATCATATCAACTCTTCAGTTCTTTTAGTCAATTTTAAAATGTTTTATTTTAAATTCGGCCATTTTCAGCAAGGGAATTGATGAGTAATTTTGTTACATTACTGGAATTAAAACTCACAGGTCTTTTTTTTTTATTTTTTTTTTCAACGTTTATTTATTTTTGGGACAGAGAGAGACAGAGCATGAACGGGGGAGGGGCAGAGAGAGAGGGAGACACAGAATCGGAAACAGGCTCCAGG